AAGTGCGAGGTATGTAAGCAATAAATTCGATTTTTTGTCAACAGCGGTGATGGGCGTTGCCCAGCGCCACTCAGCACTGAGCACCGAGCCACGGGTGATCAGCGCTGAGCAGCATTGGCCCCCGCGAATCACCCTTGTGTGGAGCTTACCACCCCCGGGCGGCTGATTTCCGCCGATCACCGCGGTTCAGAACTGGTCATCGTCGAGCACCCCTCTGGAATTCTTGCGACAGCGAGCTGAACACCGTCGTCGTTATCGATGGACTCGCGCCTCCGAGGGCATTTAGCGCCGCTGGCCCGCTGCCTCATGTCATATAACACGCTTGAATACGCCGACAAGCGCTCAGATTCCCTGATAGGCTACATTCGCGTTGAGGCTACACGACCATTGGACTTCTCGCGCGCCGCATCCCAAAACGTATCGCACGATACTCTTCGGCCAACACTCCAACACCTCATCCTCCCAACGTCAACCCCGCCGAACGCAATCTCACGCAGTTCTCCGCTCAAGCTCGAGGGCCCAGCAATTGCGTAAAGCGTAAATGAAATGAACCGCGCTCGCCCTGAACCTGCCCGACTCGCGCGCCCTTGTTCTCGATCCGTCCTCCTCCTTCTCCTTTTCCTTGTCCGTGCGTGCGTCTAGTGTGGCACACACATCTTCGCTCTAGCAACGGCGCGACGGGCGGGTTCCTTTGTGCTGTGCTTCTCGAGCGATGAGAAGACGTTTCATGCAAGGCAGACTCCGCTCAGATCTCCTGGCGTTGTTATGCTGGGCTCGTCCCTCGTCTGGTCTGCACCTCTCGCGTCACTCAGCTCAGAGGAACTGGCACTTCATACATGACATGCTCGTCTTCTGGCTGCAGCCTCGACGTCACCTTTCAGCTGTACATGGATCGTTGCCGGGGCGAGTGGCGAAGGGAACTACTTCACTCCGACAGACCTGGCCCGAACACCCAACGGTCGTCGCAGCATCCACTTCTGCGCGGACGGAAGTTCAAGTTGAATCGCAGACCTGAACGCAGTTCGTACGCCGAGGAGCGAGACGGCCGATGAAGGACCCAGAGCCATGTTATAGTCATGTTGTACAAGTTCTCAAACGTCTACACCTATCTATATACATCAATCTCACAATGACCGTGGCGTGAACCGAAAGCCGTCGAAGCGTCTACAGAGTGTATCGGAACTGATCATACGCTCGGGTCAGCAAGCGCGAACGAGATCACAACAGAACGGCATAAGAGTACGCACATGCTGGTTCTCAAAATCCGTCTTGTCCAGCTCGCCATTAAGCTTTCCCTGCGCGACGCGCTCTTCCTCGCTGATCCCCGCGGCGGCCGCCTCGCGCTCCCGCCGCCGGTTGCGCAGCACGTAGATCGTGCGCCATACTGAAGATCAGGTAAGATATCTGCATAGAGGACGGTCTAGTGCACAGGGACGCACTAAGGATGACGATACAGTTGAGCGCGAGGCAGACGCTGCAGCCCACGGTTCCGGACGTGTATTGCGGGGCGTCTTGGGCCTTGAAGATCTGGGAGCCGACCTGTGAGATGCGTTTAGCTCTTCGACTTAGGGTGCGGCGAGCTGTTGAGCCCACCATGTTGCCGACGCAGTACATCACGAAGGTGAAGGAGGATGTGACTGTGCGCTTCGTTCGCCCGGGGAAGTTGCTTGGGATGAGCGTCCAGCCGAGGAACACTACAGCCTATGAGCGCAGTGCTCAACAGCAGGAAAGAGCTCACATACGTGCGAGAATGAAGGGGAAGGTCTACATCGGTATGAGTAAATGCCCGAAGTTGAGAGCGAACGATAGACAGACCATGTAGAACATGCCCCACTTCGTCCACTAACGCGCGCGCGCAAGTCAGGACTCGCCACAAGCAAGCCCATCTGGCCGCTCACCTTCGTATGCGGAGTAGTAGGGATGAGAGACATGCCGAGCAACCCAATGAACGCCGGAACGGTCGCAGCAGCCATGATCCACAGACGCAGACCTTGCCATCTCATCGTGCTGAGGCCGACGATCAAGAACAGGAGCACGGACGTGCAGCTTATCGGTATGTTAAGCAGAATGACCTGTAGATTCGCTATGTACAAACCTTCAGTCCCATCACTACCCCCACACAACTCAAAAGACTCACTAAACCCAAGCCCCTGCTTGATGATACTCCCAAACGTCGAGATCCCCCCGTTCGGCACGCTCGACAGAAACGCGTTGAACCCGCACAGGTAAAAACACGGATCGACGACGCATTCGCGGACCTGGTACCACTTCCAGCTCTGCGTGCCCGTGCGATCGTTGCCGGACTGGTTGCTGACGATGCGCGCGTTCGCCATGCGTTTCTCCTCCGGCTTGAGCCAGGGCACTTCGGAGGGCGTGCCGAGGAAGTAGAGGCAGAAGATGCCGACGACTGTTGTTAGCCCGCCGAGGAACTGTCAATGAGGCGCATCGTGAGCGAGGAGAGGGTGTTATGGCTGGTTGAGCGTACCCATGCCATGGCCCTCCATGCTTGAAAATCTGGATGTTTGAGTTGGTGGCTCCCAATTCCGTACAGGATCAAGTCGGCGATTGTGCCGAAACCGGCGTTCGCGCTCTGTGGCTCGCGATTAGATAAGATGGCGATGTCTGATCGATCCACTCCGGACGAACCTGGAAGAACAGCGTACGAGCCGCGTGCTCGCGCGTCTTGTACCAGCTCCCGATAACAAGTAAGAACCCCGGGCTGATGCAGCATTCGGCGATGCCCTGAAGAGCGCGGAGCGCGATGAGGTGTCTGAAGTTCTTCGCTGTCGCGTTTGATCAGATTCAAATCGACGGGAATGATTAAGATAAGATGGTGTGTGAGGGAGAGAGAGAGAGAGGACGCACTGAAGCCGATGCACAAGACTATGATGCCCCAGCAGATCATGTAGATAGAGAGCGTGCGGCCGAGGCGCCAGCGTTGGAGGAGGAAGTTGGAGGGGAACTCGCAGCACATGTAAGTGATGTCTATGAACAACCTGTTCAGCAAGCGACCTATAGCCTGTACATCTATGACTCACAGAAGATAGTCGTCAGCCACGAGTATTGCTGTCCGACGAGGCCGGTACTGAGGGGGATTGGTGGGCGCCATGACTCTCGATGCGGCGTCAACACTCACTCAGTGCGAAGCCCAAAGGTCGCCATTGTACCTATACGCCAAGTAAGAACGCAATCCGTCTCATGCAGATCGTCTCGCTTACCGGTCGCGGTCTTGTCGGTCTGTTGGATGCCATCTACAAATGCCAGACAGGTTCAGCAGAGATCATCCCGCAGAAGACTGTGGCACCAACAGCAGAGCCACATGAGAGGCAGAAGGTATCGGTCGATCTTCTTCTTCAGCGCGTCATACTGGGCCTCGGTATAGTCGCCCTCGGCGGCATGTACTGCACGGAGAACCGTGAGCAATAGCGCGCATGTGGCCATACGATAACACACCAGCGCCGTCCTTCAGTTCGTCTATTGCCACCTCGGCATCGACCTTGCTGTCATCATACGAATCCTTCTCGTCGATCGGTGGCTTGACCTCGGGAGACGACGCCATGGCGCAGAAAAGCTATCACTGCACGAGCGCTGCAGAGTCGATCCCAGGTAGAGCCTCGGCGAGCGAGAACCGGAAGAAGCAACGAGCGCTCCGGGGACTATATGTATGCACTGGGAAAGAAGCACCGAGGGCTAATCTGGCGATAAGCACCACTGGTGAGCCATATCGCAGCACAGATACGCCGTAAGACCAAGGAATTCGACGTTCGGAGCTCTGCCCATCAGATTCTGCGTGCTCGTCCGCAACAGCGCGAGGGGCCTGCGTTTGGGTGTGAATACGATGAGAGCATGGCGTGGTATGACGAGCGATTGATCTTGCGGGCGCGGGAACGGTACGCCACTGGATAACTCGAGACACTATTTGAGTACACGAGCAACTCTCATGGCAGCCTGCTGACAGACCAGCACCAGTTCGTACAGTGATTGCGAAGCGTATCTAGTCGCGTGCCTGAGTGAACAACGAGTGTGAGGACAACCGCGAATGCGAGGAGCGGATGGCGTCACCTTCACAAGCGGCACTGGTCTGCGTCACGACTCAACACCGATATTGTTTCTTGAGCCCGCAGTCTTCCGATCAGCCGCAGACATAGAGAACGCGAGGAAGGCTGGGCTATTGGAGGTACCTGAGGGTCTGTTCGGCAACCTGATCTTCCGTCATGACGGAGGATTTTGGTCAAACTTATTGCCTTACAAGGCAAGAATATCGAGGCTCTCGAACTTTCGACAGCCTCTCCACCAATCATGGTCCTAGGTGCGGCTGCGGAAATCATGACGGAAACGCAAAATCAGGTTGCCGAACAGACCCTGAGATGATGCCCATTGACGCTATCCTAGGTTGCCTCAAGTGCAATCAGGGCCAGAGCACGTCAACCAGTATAAACAGCGCCAGTGGTACGCCATGCGCGACTGCTCAAGCGAGGGCTGGGCTCGATGGAACCGATCATAGCTGTTTGAAGAACGAAAGGTCCCAGAGGTGCTGGCCTGGAGAAGTGCAGTCGCCCAGCTTCGTACTGCAGTGAGAAAGGAAAGCGCACGGGGCACATTGGCATATCGTTTGTCCGAGGCAGAAGTCTGGTATCCAATGGAACTACCCGAGACACCTCACAGTGCATGAAGTTGGGAAGCAAGGAAGGAGCGCGCAACATACGGTCACTACGGGGCGTGTCAACCACGTTCTCCCCACGTGCTACGCGTCAGACTTTGGCGCGGTGTGGACTGGTGTGGACGGGCCGCGTCCTCAGTCTCGCGTTGAGGTCGGCCATCCTCTACTTTAGAGGACCACAAACGATGAAAAGGACTGTAAGACTCAGGCTCGGTGTCGTCAGAAAAGAAGACGCGTTTTATGTGTCAAGACGCGTCCAAAACGCGTCGCGGGCGCTAAAGTTCGACGCGCGCACAATGTGGACCTACGCGTCATGGACCCACGCTCACCCACATCTCCGGCAGTCCACCTGCCCTAGCGAAAAGCATGCACCTCCACATCCAAAATGGGATTACCACAGCACGTCTATGCATCAAGAATTGTATAGTATATATATTCGAACCTTCCCAGACGATCTCACATCCTCTCCAACGGCCTAATACTCAACAGCCTCATCGCCGCGCCCAGCGTATCCCGCGCACACAAATACATCCACATCCGCGCCCTCTGCTTCTCGACGTCGCTCTCGCCCTTAATAATAACCGTCTCCCACGCGCTACTAATCGCATGCGCCAATTTAAAGAGGAACGTGACGATCGTGCTCGGCTCGCCGTTTTTGAGCGTGGTCTTTATGACGTCGGGGTACGAGCCGAGGAGCATGACGATGTCGCGCGCGCCCTTGTCTTGCTGCAGGAGCTCGGCTTTGATGGAGGATGGAGGGGGAAGGGGCAGGAGTTCGGGGTTTTTGCGGGTTAGGGAGCAGAGGCGGACGTGGGCGTATTGCAGGTAGGGCCCCGTGTCGCCTTCGAAGGAGGTCATGCGGTCCCAGCTGAACGTGTAGTTGTTTATCCTACCCTAGCCATCAGCTTTTTGTTCGTATGAGAAGAGAGAAGAGAGAGCAGAAGCGTACCTCTTCGCCGTCATATCCTGGATCTTAATCCCGCTCAGACCCACCTCGAGCGACGTCCGTTCCGGATCCTCGACCTGGCTATACTTCGCCTCGTTCTTCCTCATAACATCGTGCATGATGCTGCTCGTCTCCCTGATAATCTGGTCGAGGAACACGACCGTCCCGCGGCGCGTGCTCATGCCCTGCACGAGCCCGTAGTTGACGAGCTCGAGCCGGTCGGCCCACTCGAGGCCCATGAGCTTGAGGATCTTGAAGAACTGGCCGACGTGCAGGTCCTGCTGCGAGGAGATGACGTAGATCATCTTGTCGAACTTGTACTTCTCGTAGCGCTCGATTGCCGCGCCGATGTCGCGCGTGAGGTAGATGGAGGTGCCGTCTGAGGACGCATCAGTACCCCGGATGGACGGTGAATGGAGGAGCGAAGGAACGCACCCTTCTTGCGCACGATAGCCTTGCCGAGCTTATACTTCTCCAAATCCACAATCCGCGCCCCCTGACTCTCCTCAACAATCCCCGCCGCCTCCAGCTGTGTAATCGCCTTGCGCATCCCCTCCTGACCGACCTGGCTCTCGCCCGTATACTCGTCAAAGTGCACGTTCAGCCTTTCGTACTCCTCCGCGTACTTCTTGACCGAGAGCTCGCGCCACACGCGCCAGTTCTTCAGCGCGCTCTCGTCGCCGTCCTCCATGCGCTTGAACCACGCCGCGGCGGCCTCTTTGACGGAGGGGTCCGACTCGGCGTCTTTGTTGATGGCGACGTAGATGTCGAAGAGGTGCTTGATGGCGTCTTGCTGCAGCTTCTCGTCCGAGCCGTACTTCTCGTACCCGACCGCGATCAGCCCGAACTGCACTAGGGTTAGCAATCAGACACACTCGAAGAGCTATGCACTAGGGGCACGAGCGTACCTGGGTTCCCCAGTCGCCGAGGTAGTTCAACGACGTGACGTCCCACCCACAGGCCTTGTAGAGGTTCGCGAGGAAGGCGCCGATGATGGTCGAGCGCAGATGGCCGACGTGGAAGCTCTTGGCGATGTTGGGCGACGAGTACTCGATCACGACCTTCTTGCCCTTGCCCAGCTCGTTCGTCCCGTACTCCGGCTTCCCCGACGCGCTCTCGTGCGTCTTTTCGTGCACCTGCGTCAGCACCGCGCGTAGCAGGGTCGGCGTGCGGCACATAAAGTGCAGGAACGCCTTGTCGTGTTGTACAGATTCCACGTAGTCGTCCGCTTGGAACTAATATTCCACCGTCAACACCATGGTATATACACTTGATGGATAGTTATGATACGTACGGAGTCTACGACCTGCTTCGCGAGCACGTCGACCTTGCCCGGCAACCGGAACCGCGGCAGCGCAACCGTAAAGTCGACCCCCTTCTTCCCATAATCGACGCCCGCGTACACCTGCTCGACGCTCAGCTCCGGCAGCGCGTCCGCGACCTTTTTCGCGATCGCGATCCGGAAAGAGTCGAGCACGGCCCGCGACGGGTCCGTGCCAGCGACCGGCGGCAGGCTCGGCAATGTTGCCATATTTCTTTTGATGATTGTTGTTACAGGGGATAGGGTATGGTACAATGAAGGAAGACGCGCGCGATGCGCGGTGAGATGGCGGAGGGAAAGTATGGTGAGGAGCAAAAAGTTATCGCGATCTGGGTTTAGATGGGTGTGACTCGCGAAGACGCGCTGCCCCACGTGGCGCCGGCATGAGCGCTCAACGCGTCGCGACGCGTCGAGCCTCGAGGTTGCTCTCGAGCCACCACCATCATGAACTACATGGATCACAGCGACGCAGGAGATGGATACTATACCTATCTCTATAAACGTGTCTTGGATTGGGTCCGTGTGGCCCTCGCACGTCAGCCGTGCCGCCTTGGAGTTCTGGGTCTGAGCCGAGCTCGCTGCCTATCGGACCCTTGCTCGATGCTATGTTCATTCACGAGTCCATAAGCCCGCACAACGACTTTCCTGGCCCCCCTTCACCTTCTCTCGCTACATCATGGACTCAATTACGCCCCTCCCCGAAAGGCTCCTCTTCAGCGCCGTTCGCACTGTGACCGTATTCGTCCGAGATCTGAGAGCGCTGGACTGGGTACTTCTGGGAGTGATCGCCGCCCTTATCCTACCTGTCCCCATTTACCAGAAAGTAACCGTACGATGCCTGCGGATGCTGCTCGTCCTTCTGGCTGGCTTGTTCACACTCGTGAACATCTACGTACTGGTGCGCACGTCGCCCATCGGAGTCTGCTCCCCGACCTGACCAAGCGCATTCCAGGCCGCATCGTGGATCCCAGACTCCGTCTCACCAGAGGACTCGACGATCGCCCTAGTCGACATATCGAACTTTCTCACGCCGATCATCGCGGACTCGGTCCTGCTGTATAACACTATCCTGGACAACGTGGCGCAGGGCATGGCGTGCCAGGACCTCGTCGTCGCGTCTGCCGCACCCCTGATACTCAAACTCGGCCGGCTGCTCGACTCTCAGCCGCTCGTCCAAGATCGGTTCCGAGTAGTGCTGGACCGCATCGATGAGGGAGGGCGATATTACTCGTTCATCGGTGGGCCGCCGAGGCTGGAGCTTACGCCGAAACAGAGCCAGGAGATCGGGACTGGGATGCAGCTGTTTGATAACGTGTGCGTTACGTCGATCGCTGTGTTCGTGACCTCTTCTCTGATTGAACGCAATAGCTACACTTTCTTCTACTTCGTTAAGAGCGTGCGCCATGAGCGCGCAGTCGCCAGAGTTGAAGGCCCGCTGTACATCCCGCGCAGTACGTCCAGACCACCACCCTCTTCCTTGCTCGCAAGTACAGTGACACTGACGACGATCACCCACAGCTGCACTCGCATCTCTACCACCACGCACCCTCATCCTCCTGTCCTTCACGAACTTCATCGCCCCAATCACCCTCAGCGCCGCCCAGCTCGCCGCGCTCCTCCGCTCGACCGCAGAAGACGACATGCTGCCCTTCTACCTCGCCGTGTGCAAAGCGCTCATCCAGATCCTCGGTGCCCTGGCTACATCCCTATTCGCTTCGCTCCAGCGCCGCCGGAACGATAAGATGAGAGGGCTCGTGTCGCTGCGTCTTGAGGGCGACGACTCGGACTCCGCGCTGCTTGCTGTCAGCCCGCGCCACATCGAGGACCCGTCGAGCCCGCAAACGCAGATCGACGTCCGACGTCTCGCGCGCGCGGGACACACGCGGCGCTCGTCGCGCTATAGCACGAGTGCGAGTGCGAGCGGAAGTGGGTACGGACGGCCGTACCAGCACCATCAGTGGATGTCGTACTCGCGCGCGTTCCAGGAGTACCCGGAAGATAGTCAGCGTTGGGACTTCTTTGTCTTACCCTGACGTGTTGCTCATGTTTGTGCTATGTAGGTCTGTGGCACGAATCCGGGTATTGAGATGGACGTGACGGTTTGGATATACGTACACACACGATCACCCGTGTAGCTTGAATTTCCATCATGAGAACGAAGAGAACGAAGAACGAAAGCGTAGTTTGCATCTATAGCACGACAGTACAGAACAAAGATCCAAATCCACAATAACAATAATCGAAACGACTGCTCCAGCCCCGCCGGAATCTATGATACATGGAGTTACAGTCACAACCTCCACTAACCCACCCGCGTACTCAAGCATTCGAGTCGCCCCTCGCCCGCGTCACACTATGCCGCTGAACATTCATACTCGCGCGCCTAACACTCTCCATATCGACCACCTGCGCATCCCTTGCGAACGGATCGCGCGCCTCGCGCATGAAGTACTCCGCGTGTAAGAGTGCGCTCGGAATTCCACTAAGTTGGGGGGAGTGAGGTGATGCGATGATTGGGTCTGCAAACTCCATAGGCCGTTGAAGGAAGACTGGTGTGAGGCTTTCTTCGGATGCCATGCTCGCCGAGCGGGTGCTGCTGCCCTCGTGCTTCGAGCTTTTGAGGATGTTGAAGACGTCGGGGAGCAGGCCTGCTTTGGCGAGGCTGTCCTCTGCTCGCACTGTGGACACGTCAGTCTGAGCGATTGTACGGCGGTGCGTTGTGCGCGAGCGGACGCACGGTATGTTGCCAATCCCCTTCCGAACCACCGAAGGGCAATGATGCCGAACACGAGCGAGAACAGCAGGATCAAGAACGACAGTGTCGTGATCGCCGCGAAGAAGTCGAAGTCGAGGTACGTCAGGCGGAAGACCTGTGCATGTTATATGAAATCAGGATAGACTGTGAGATGTGCTGGCACAGACACGCACCTGCGAGTAGAAGACTATCGCCCAGCAGATGATCAAGATGCAAACACACGCGATGAAAACGGCCGCCAGCCATTTGCTCTCGCGTCTGATACCGTACCAGCCCTACATCACGTCCGCGTCAGCAAGGTTCGGAGACCTCAGTCGGAGTGGACACACGCTGAGGCAGTACGGTATGAAGAAGACCAGCGTCCCGATGCACAGAGCGAGGTACAGCGCACGTCGATCGGTGTAGACCGAGATGGGTCCATTGACGAGTTGGTCGAGGAACAGGCCCGCCGCTACGGCCAGAGTGTACACTCCCAATTGGATGCAGACTTGGACGGCCATGAAGTTCCAGTAGACCTTGATGACGCCGGGGGGCGGTCCCAACCGGCGGAACGTCTGATGGACATATACCTAGGAAGTCATCAGTATCGCCACGGAAGATCGTCAGACGATGTGGGCACCTTCGATAAGCGCACACTCAGTATCGCGAGGACGACCAGAAACACCCAGTTGCACACGACTTCCGCGATCTATCTCCCAATCAACACAACGTTCAGACGTCCAACTTCGATAGAGGTTCAACATACGACCCAGCCGAGACGGAACGAGACATAGTCGTCGAAGATGTCCAGGTTGCAGGGTGATACCGTGCTCCGGTAGAGCGTGGCGTAGAGTCCCACGTTGAGCGCCGCGCGGACGACCGCGAATACGGACCATCCTGTCACAAGCACTCGCGAGCATAGCGAGACCCATCTGAGAGCGCCGATTCAGCTATCCGAGAGCGTGGGATAGTGAGAGTACGCACATGTGTGGGACGGACTCGTAGAAGATTGCGAATACAGACACTGTTAGGAGCCAGACTTGAAAGACAATGAGAGCAATGTCTTCCTGGGACTCCTTCAGGACTCTGAGAGGTCATTAGTACAGGTGGAAAGTGTCGAGGATAGAGGATCAAACACCGTTCCCGAGTATAGATGAGGGACTGGACGCAAGTCAGGCTAAGGGAGACAGTGGTATCTTCCAGCGACGACGACGCCGTGACCGCGCTGACGGTTCCATCATCATCGAACGTGGGCTCGAAGCTCAGACCTGATGATCTCCTCGCCGCCCATCGCTGCCAGCTCTAATGACCCGCCGTCAGATGCTGACGAACGACCTTAATAACCGAAGCGTACGATCTCTGGGAAGTGTTGAACGAAGCCTGTATCGCCGCTCGTAGAGATGGGAATGGAAATGTTGCACGGGTTGTCGACAGTCGAACCGCCTGCGAACTCTGGCACTTGGTAGCATAGCAGTAATGTCTCCACTTCTGTGCCGGGATCGCGGTACGAGTATGTCGCGGGCGAGATCTGGGCGGCTGTGATGGCGGATGATAGTGCTTCGGACACAGCCGCATCCGCGAAGAGGATGAAGACGTGAACGATTACGAGGACGACGCAGAAAAGGAGCGTGATGATGACAAAAGTTGTACTCGCAGGCGTTACAACAGCGCGCCGAGCCTATGCAGAGATGTCAGCGATATCGCCTGCGCGCAGGGCAGAACTACGTACCAGGGCCATTGATGCCTCCCATAATGCGCGACCAGGTTTCGAGCGAGGAGCAGCCATTAAGATCGTAAAGTCGTGAATTCCCGTCCGGCGGGAGCTGAGCAGTCGTAAAAGAAAGAAAAGAAAAGAGAGAAATCCAAAGAAAGAATTGGAGACCGGCGAAGGAGAAGGAGAAGTTGGACGTCCAAGGAGAGCCGCGTGCGCGGCTCGGATATCGCGCTATATATCTTCAGGGCTTTCGGATGGCGACGTGCTTGTACCCTCCCAACGGCGCCCGCAGGAACGTGCGCAGCCATCGGACATCAAAGACGAGTCTGACCCCGTTAGCCTGATTCAGTCCTTGGTATGTGGAGGGCACGATCGTCAACTGATGGACCTGAACTGACGACCACCAGCCTGCACGGAGCAGTGTAAGAAGCAGATGCTGCTCGTTCACTCAGGCTTGGCCCAGCACCCTCAGAGCAAGAGACAGTATACGCATGGAGTAGATGTATCTTCTATGATATATGCCATCGAGGAGGCTGGCGGTTCGGGTGCAAGATGGTTGGAAGGAACGGGCTACGCGGCAGGCGCAGGATCCGGAGATGACGTCGGACTCAAATGTCCGGCGGTCCGCACAGCCAATCACCATCAGACTTTAGCCAGCGGCCCCGATCAACTGCAAAAGCGTACGACGCAGGTCAGGATGTTTGGCTTGCGTGGAGAGTTTCATCGAGTACAGGTGCTAGCAGCTACACAATGCCAACATCCTCTGCATAGGTTATACTAGCGACACTACGTACCGAGAGCGTTAGCCCTCGAAGCGGTCTCTCATACGCGTTTTCGGTCGAACTATATGGCGATACTCAGCTTAAGATACAAAGCCAGTAGGATAGTTGCACTTACGACCGTATAGTAAGTCCCATCGTCCAGCTGTTCCTTCCTCGGCACAAAGTCGAAGCCGAACACCTTTGGTATGACTACGCGCCATATTGCCCAATAGAACGCGCCGAAGAGAAGAATGCCGATGCCGACTAGGCAGTAGACGTAGTATGGGATCGGTGGGGTGTCGCCTACTCCATTCGCGGGCTTGAGGTAGGGCGTAATCATCACTACGCGAACCTATCAGTCTGATAGCAGTGTAGAATGAGGTTGCGATACACACGGAAGACGGCAGCGGCCAAATAGAACCCGGCAATGGGCCACCAAACTGTGTAATTGGTGAGTTCCGTGAGAGCAACGGCGTCGAACCAAGCTGCACACCTTTGAACGGCCTAGGCAGGTTTGGTTTCTTCCATCTCAAGTAGAAGAGCCCGATGACGATGAAGAAGTTGATGATCTGGCTGGGATAGCCCTCGATGTCAAGGATAAAGGGATAGGCGACATCTGGCGGAGGGGCGATGATGACGATGATCTGTATGCACGGTGAGTGCTAATCTCTCCACATCTCAAGCGTCGGGAGGTGGACACACCGATGGAATGAGATGTACGATGAGACCGGGCAAAGGTGACTTCCTGGTCGGCCAGTTCGACGCCCAGAACTTGTTCCCGAACGGCAATGGCACGCCCTCCTTTGCGAGCTCCTGATTGATGCGCGCTGCTTTGAAGGTCTGGGTACTTTCAGGACTCGGGGCGCCCAGTACGAGGTTCATGATTCACTTACCACAGTCACTACGTTCTGCATGGCGACAATCAGTCAAACGGAGTACGACGGAAGAAGTAGGAGAGCGCACCCCAAGCGCACTGAGAGCCACAAAGACCGTGAGCGCACGCTGCGCCTGCTCCCCGAAGACCTTCTTGAAGAATAACGACGCGACAGTGACGCCCGAGTCCATGATCTCCTCTTTGGTCGCCGCGCTACCAGGATCACGAGTAAGCGAAGTGACGTATGATCTCCGTGAGAGCGACGCACGCAAAGTATGAGATGTTGGCGAACATGTATAGTATAGTGGTGATACCGAGTCCGAGAGGACCCGCGATCTTGAACGTGCGGATCGGATCCTTGACTTCGTTCATGACATAGTTGATAGCAGACCAGCCCGCGTACGAGCTGAGAACTTTGAAGAGGGCAGTGGCATACTGACGTGATATCGCCTGTCAGTTCAGCGTTCTCAACACAAGTCGATGGTAGCGCGTACGTCGTTCCCGCTATGCGAGCTTCCTGCGAACGCGTCGCGGAAGTTGAACCCAGGATCCTCGATCTTGGTGTGCCCACCGAGCACGACCCAACCTTCAGGTACGATGTCAATCTGACGTCAAAGTTCGTAGAACAAGGCGACGTACCCGACACTACGACGAAGAGCAAGATAGCGATCTTGAACACGCCGAAGATGTTCATGAGCCATACTCCGAGTCGAGGCGTGAAGCCATGCAGCAGAGTCACGAAGAAGATCGCTGCAAGAGAGCGTCAGTACACTCGAAATATGGAGACGGAGAAGACACACCGCCAAGGGCGATCCCTCGCTCGTTCCAGCGAGTGACCTCCGCATCAGCTGCGACCAAGATACTGTGGGTGAAACTAAGAGATGCTCTTTACACACGCGTTGACGGACCCACTTCGATGCAAACACCTATCAGAAGTATCAGCGTCGTTCTCAATTCACCGGCGTTTCGAGACAACGCACGATACACCCACTAGCAGTGAACCCCAGCAAAATCGCATCCGCAGCGAAGATGACCGTCACAAGATACTTCGGCTTCTTATACATCGCCTCCAAATACACTTTCTCCCCGCCCGACCTCGGATACGTCGTGCCAAGCTCCAACCAGATCATAAGACCACAGAAGCTCAGTAAAGCACCGAGCGCCCATAGGAACAATGCGGCGCCAACTGAGCCGACGGATTTTAGGATGGAGGAGGGTGTTGAGAAGATACCAGTTCCGATGATGTGGCCGATGCTGTGTTAGATGGTTCGTCAGCGTGTTGAGATAGAGGATGCTAGAGGAGGTGGAGCATACACTATCATCGTACAGGAGAAGACGCCGAGATGGCGGCCCATACCACCGGCAGTATCTATCAAGCCCGAGCGCATCAGCGCGTGTCGACCTTCCCTGAAATGCAAACGCACCTTGCTCGAAAGTAAGACCGCCTTCGACCAGCTCGTCCTCGGTGACGATACCGTCCTTAGTAGTCGCCGGGTACCCATCGTCACCCTTCTCCTTAACATCAGTCAAGCTCGCCGACTTCTCTGAGCCAGAGCCAGCCGTTGCGCGACGACCAATAGACCCTAAACTGAAGGACACCATGGCCGAGGAACAACAGAATAGGAAGGGAGAGCAGCGGCGCCTCGAGAAGCGCTCGAAGAATCAGACGAGGCAGTATCTTATAGCACAATCAGAGCGCCCGAGTCTCCGCATGGAAGAGCATTCGAAGAGCGCGAAGTTTGCGTAGGAGAACTAGTCGTGCTTCGGATACGCGAACGCGTTATCTCAAGCCACTTGTCCCCTTTCTCTCGCAGATGCCGTACAGGACCTCGAGATACAGCGCTGCGCTGGAGTGATGCAGTCAGTTCGGGACAGATGGCAGGTTCTATAGCGGGCATAATCAGGCGGTGGATGCGGTGGGACGGACGATGGTTGAGGAGGAGCGCAGGTTGACGCGCAATTGCGCCTTTGATGGACGAGGGAGAGAAGCATGTTGGGCGCCACACGGTTCGGCGCGTTTTATGCGCCACAGAGCGTTTGCGTAGCTTGGGAAGTTGTGTATGTAGGCACACTGAGCCTCGCTCTGGAGCTCAACAAGAAACCAGCTAGGACGGCTGCATGACGGCTGGAAGCAAGTCGCGGCGCGTCGGCGAAGCGCGGCGACGAAGCCGAACGTGCTACACATCGTACACTTGTCGTACGCGACTGGGTTTACGAGTATCCCACACGATGTGTGCAAGCTTACCGATGTACTAGTCAGTACCTGCACAGGGGTATCTCTCGCATGTTGCGGTCCGCTCACGACTCAACCTCTCAGAACCTTCCACCGCTACACAGATGCCGAATGGACTCGGCATGACGTTGGCATGGTACATTTGCATCAAAAGGGGATCACTCTATTATCTGGTATCTGGTATGCATTAAATTGCCGTTCTGATCTCCTAAGTATGGCTCTATGCCGCATCCAATCTGTGTACCGTCTATGCCCACCGTTCGCCTGGATCGCCTTCGTTTACTATAGACATTGCATACAGACGCGCAGTCTGGACTGGGCTGAGCACCCCGATCCGGGAGTATAGCTTACCCAACAGCTTCAAGTCAAGCGTAGGCCCAGCGTTGAAACCTACTTGCTCCTTCAGTTCCAGTGCGTTCTTTAGACCGCTTTCACGCTTAGCGTCAGCCAGGCGCCCCATCTTCATGTACAGATCACACAGGTCGGCGTGTGCAGCGGCTTGACCCAGTCTATCACCGACTTCCCTTGATAGTTGTAGCGCACGGCCGAGAGAATGCTCTGCGTCCTCGAGTTGGCCACGTCGGCGTTGCACCTCGGCAAGTACGCGAAGATCGTTCGTTTGTCCTAGACGATCTGAAACCTCTTCATGCAATTGCAACGCCCTGCGTCCGGTCTCCTCCGCTTGGTCTAGATGCATAGTGCGCGCGTAAAGGTCGCTGAGCGTATAAAGGTCGTTCGCTTGACTGAGGCGTGCACCCGCCCGTTCATGCAGCTCCAAAGCCGAGAGTAGCGCCTTCCTGGACTCCTTATACTCCTGAAGCTGATGGTGAAGAACGCCTATGGAGTTAAGGCTATTCGCCAAACCGATCTGATCCCCGACCGTCTCTTGCAGCACTAAAGCTTCCTTCAACGCCCGTTGGGCAGCCGCTCGGTCTTGAGCAAGCGTATACGCGACCGCAAGAGCCTTGAGATCGTACGCTTGACCGAGGTTATCTCCTCCACCGGCGTGTAACTCGCGCGCGAGTTCAAGATGCTCGATGGCGGTCTCCTCATGCCCACGTCTGATATGCGCGATGCCGATGCCATGATGATCCTCGGCCTGACCGCGCGTGTCATTCAAGTCATGGTCTCGCGCAAGAGCTCTTTCAAAGAGAGAAGCTGCTTCTTCGACATCCGTAAAGAGATGGTGCTGCGCCCTCTGCCGCAGGACCTGGGGCACCAATGGTGGATGGTGGGCGGACGCGAATGGTAAGGCATGGTCGAGAAGCCCATGGTTCGCGAGCGAGAGTTCTCCGTAAAGCCAGCTCATCTCCATGGCGGCATGTAGAAGACGTTCAGCGTCAGAGTTCGGGAGATCGTCACTCAGCGCTCGCGTCAGGACGCTTCGAATGTTCTCGAGTTCAGGTGTAATCGTCTCTTCAAGGAAGCCACGCCGCGCAGTCTCGTCATCTGGCACATCGTCGAGGATCAACGTGCAGTAGAGGTCAATGACGCGCATCCGCAGCGACGGGTGGAAGGGGTATTCCGAGTTGATGTACTCGCGAACCGTGGGAAGAACCCGTAGGAAGCCGTCGATTGGAGTGACAAGAGCGCATTGTTTCAGCACGGTGATGCAGCCTCGCATGTGCGGTAGGTCTTCGTTGAACGTCCTCTCGAACACCGGTAGGCGGGCCTCGGGCATTCCCTGCGGAAGGGTGCAAAGGAGACTGAGGAATGAGACCGCGGTGGGTTCTGTGGCCAAGCGGGGACTTGTCAAAGACATCTCGATAGAGATGGCGAGGCTGCTCAGGCGATCTTGATTCTGGCTGGTGCGGCGGATGAGCCTGACTCTCTCCGTGTGCCATCGAGCCCATAACGCTTCACAAGTCTCGCTCTCTGCGAGATGCGCAAGGTGCACTACGGCGAGGGGCACGCGCCCCACGGCTTCAATGAGCTTGAGAGCATAATCGTCATGCGAACCGCATATATCGTCCCAGATGTTGAGTGTAGCATCAAGACTTGGTGGCCCAATTGGAGGAAGTAGTGGTTTCGTCCAAGATACGCCAACCGGCCGGCTAGCGCCTCTGAGGGTGATAAGAATCGACAAGCCCGGGATGCCCGCGAGTCTCGTGAGAAGCAACTCGACGGATGCTTCATCCCGCTCCCAAGGCGTCTCGAAGTTGTCCAAACAGAGCGCAGCGATGCGAGAACTTAAGAAGGAAATCAAGACATGAACGGGAGAGAGGTTGTCGGAGTAACCCAGGGGCAGTCCTAGCGCTTTGACGATCCCAAAAGCCAGGTCAGCGGCCGTAGTGAAGGCTTCGCAGGAGATGAAGAAGCGCCGGTGAGAGTACATCTCCGTTGAGGACTGATGATGTAGAGCAGCCAGAGCGAGAGTGGTCTTTCCCAAGCCGCCAGAACCGAGTATAGCTATGCGCGCGGGGGTTTTGCTCATCATGAGCCCAACGATATGATCAAGTTGGACCTGTCGTCCATAGAAGATGAGTGGCTTGGGAGGCAGGCTACTCTGCCGGATGTGACTAGTCAACCCAATTGAGTATAGGCTGTATCTCTGAGAAGCTGAAAATACACGCACGAGTATGCCGCGCCTTCATGAACTGACTCCTGGTTTCCCATCTACGTATCACTGATCAACTCCGTATAAGAACGAGATCTCATCGGGACGCACGCTGGGCAGCATCTTTGTTTGCATGCGAGCAAAACTGGAGGTTAAGGTCCTGATATCTGCTCTCTGATTGATGTCCAGTTTTATCTGAAGTTATAGTCGGGATAGGCGGTGACCAACAAATGTGGACACAAACCTTGAAGAATTCCACGGCACTGCGAAGCTTCTGGCGACTTTGGTTGACCATATCGCTCATATCTTCTCGGTTTACCCACATCTTAACCCTGTCCGGCCAGCCTAAAGGAGAAGCATTGCAGGCTTTGAGCGTGCTGAGGACGTCCTCAAGGGTTCTTGAAGAAGTCGGCACCTACACGCATACGACAGAATAAACATCGCTCACGATTCGAGATCGCTGAACATCTTCTTCTCGGACTCTGAGAGAACGTCTGAGGGGTCGCGTTCCTCCTTGGCCTGATCGATGATACTTTGAAGCGTTTGGACATCGTTCATAGCCAGACGCCACTCGACTTTGAACATTTCTACTTCCTGTGTGGTGGCTCAGAAACTGATCGGAGAAGTGGGCACGAAGTACGCACTCTCTGTGCCGTCATGATCTTCGTTAGCGCGGTTGATACAGCACCGAGGTAGGGCACACTCTCCGTCGCTGAGACGACGAGCGGAAGAGCGTCCACTGCTAGCGACAGGACCTGCTTAGCTCCATTCTTCAGACGTCGACGAGTTCCTATGCATTCACGCATTCAGTATACATGGTCGCGATTGTGCCAGGCGAAGACGAACGAGCTCTCTCTTCAGACACGCTTGGACTGTCGCTCGAAGCGCCTAGCGCGGGTTTCCGAGGACGAAGCCGCAACATCTTCAACACAAGAGAGAGCTCCACGAGCCCGGTGGTAGCCCTTCAGAGAGTTGGAAAAGTGAAGAGTAGTCAGACCCTGAACCCTTCGTAGTTGCACCGAGTAGTGCTCATCAGAGGGTTTGCGCAGCGTCATGAGAATGACGAACTCGAATCGTCGTCTTCACTGCTCGATTGGGTTGTACGCTCATGTAATATTGTGTCACCCCCGACACCAGATACGCGAGGTTCAGCTCTGAAGTTGGTGCTACATGCATCAGCCGTGCGTGAACATGACGGGTGAAGGCAAAGCTAATATTCGCACTCCGATCCGTCAACGATAACCCACGCGATAGCCACGCGCGCCAAACAATCGGGCCCTCGGAGACACAGCTGCGGTCCTCGGGAGAGTTGCGCATCTCACCGTCGAACGGCGACGACACCCAGCGAGACCATGTCCCTCCCCCGATCCAACTACGACCCACGAAGGGTATGCGTCAATCCATTCCCGAACCTCGACCTGCCTTTCGGCAAGTACCGCCACTCGGTCGGCGTTTACCTCGCCGGCGCCCTCGTACGTCCCGCCTGAAACCCTCTACCTCAATCCTCGATATTCGAACTCATACGACCATATAGTTTGCTTTGGCAAATTGGACATTCTTTGACGCGGCTATACTCTCGAAGCACGCACATGCACCGCCGGGCGACGCCGATTACCCTGTGCCCGTGCACGTCACCTTCGTTGACTGGGTGCCCGGCCTGTGCTCCTTGTTTGGCATGCTCATCGTGAACCTTATCGATAAGGACCGTGTGCGCGGAGAGGATGGATTCGGAGACTCGCGTGCGGTGTGGAGGGCGCGGCTCATTCTCTTCATTGGCTTCGCCTTGATGGCCGGTGGGCTCGCAGGCAGCGTCGTACGTCCCCAATATTATATGCCACTCTTATTCCTTGCTGAAAGTACCTATCGTCCGACAGGCTTTGCTTGTGCTCAAGTATGTTCTGTCTGGCTACGCCGACCAGCTCATATACTACGGCTATGCCAACGTCGGCCAGAACATTGGTCTCATGCTCTCTGCGGTTGTCCTTTGGATCGCACAGAGCACCGGAGGGGAGTACGAGTACAACCTGTCCATCTGAGGTTCCGCAATCTTTGGTCTGTGATATATGTAACCTATTGTTTTCGGTGCTTATCTCGACGTCCATCGGAAGTCCAGACGACTCCGTAGCCCGGTGTTGATGGCAATAGCGAGTGTTTGGGTGGTGCAAGGAACTTCTTGAACATAGCGCCTTCCGCGAACTCAATGACTATGAGACATGTGTCGATTTTGTGCTGTTCCACTCTGCAAGCGGCTCGCTGCCGGGGGGGACTTCCCATATACATCGTAGCTTGGCAGCTTCCATGCAAACTCTGAACTGATACCACGAGCGTTGAGCCTTCCGCTTCTTCGAGTTTGCCTGTGTTCCGCACTGACAAGGTGAAGTCGACGTTTGTGGGCATCTCCGGCGATGAGCTGGTGAACCTTCCATGGTCATTGGGTTTCGTTCAAAGCCATTTCGTAGTCGAAACAGCGGCACGAAGAGTCTTCCCCTCGTGTACCATGACGCGAGGGGACCAAGCGACGGCGCG